GAAACAGGTTTACTGGAATATGCAACATGCAAGAAAATATATCTCCAAGTAAATATACAATAATTAAATTCATTCAGCAAGACTCAGACATAGCTGTGCCAGCCAACTCAGGGACAGCCACAAAGAACAAAGAATTAAAATATAAGAAACAAAAGGTAAAGCGCAAATAGAGTAAAAATTTTTTAAATGAGTTCAATAGACTTGAGATGACAATATAAGACATATTTCTAAATTTGATTTTGCTTCTTGTGAAGTAGGACAATCACTGATGAACCTCAAAGGGAAACCATCCATCATCCATCCATATTTTCCTGGATAGATGGAATTAAAGTTGTTACCATACTAGGGGTGTATGTTATATTGCTGTCGGTATCAGCTATTATTTGTCTTTTTTCTTTATACATTGTTTTTGAGCCCTTTGTAAATAATGCACTAAAGGCATCTGTCTAACTAATCAATATCAATATTAGTGTATTGTGGTTCCCCTGTGTTCTCAACAAAAGGAAAGCACTCAATAGATATATGTTTCAGCTCATTTAACGTTTTGGTCGAATAACTGCGGGTCCATCAGCCGCCACACTTAGAGCGCCCCCACCAGCTTTTATCACCAAGTTACTCTGTTGATCCTGGGATATCCAAGGCTATGTAGGATAGGGTGGAAACGTCCTTCAAATGGGCAAAAAAAAGGCTGCATTTGTCAGCCGCATAACAAGCAGTCTTCCAATCCGAACAGACCTCGGCGCCGCGCTATGACATCATCAGCCAACGAATCTGGCCTTCTGAGGATGCAGCTGCTGAATTCAAACTCAGCATACATCTTTGGTTTATGAAGGGATGAGAAAATCACCACAAATCTCTTTTCTGTAGTAAAGATCCGCCCAACATTCACCTCCTTAGCCAATCAGAGGCTTGTATACATGGGGTTTGATAAGATCAATGATACTGTAAGCATTTGGTGTTAATTTAAATAAAATAATAATTTTAGATGCTTTCTTCGGGGTGTGACCATCCCGTGTTTCATTTCAGTATCGATATTCAGATGTTTTTGATGGAGATAAAGCAGCAGACTGCAGGGTGAAAACAGCAGGTTATTGGGCAGGAAACGCGAATGGTTCTGGTCCTGGATGGTTCTGGATGTCGTGGACTCCATGAACAAACTGCCTCAGACCACAGGGAGGTTTTAGACAGGACAGTTTTAATGAACGTATGAAGCAGAGACAAAGCCAAATGATAAACACTGAAAGGAGGAGAGGTGGTCTGAAGGCAGCCTGGAGCAGCTGGATGCTTTAACCTGAAAGTCCCGCCAACCATGAGCCCCACCCACACCGCAATAGGCTGTGGGTTCTGGACTCATCTCAGTCTGTAAACTGATGCCTAGTTCCATCAGGCTCTATGAAGCGGAGCAGAATGGCTGATTAGGCCTCAGAGGTTCTTTTCTTGATCTCAGCAATGAGGTCTGATCGGTTTATATCAACCTGAAAGAAACCAGAACCAACAGCTGTTAAACGCTTTCTGTATCTGAGGGCATCCAGCAGCTTGGGTGGGTGGGTGTGGGGGGGGCTACCTCTTCTCGGGTGGCCACCACCCGCAGTTTGACCACCCCGTCCTTTAGCTCCTGCTCTCCCAGTATGGCCACCAGGGGGATCCCCGTCTCCTCGCAGAGCTGCAGCTGACTCAGCAGTTTGGGGTTCTTCTTGTACATCACCTCAGCCTGCAGACACACACGACCTTTGGATTTCTATCCAGATCAAGACATGGACTCACATTCATTTCAGTTCCTGATGCCAACACTAACCCGATATTCACACTACCCGTGATACTCACGCCGGACCACGGATTTCATGCCAGGCCGCAACGTCCGCACTAGCCCCTACATTCCCCCTAACCTTAACGTCCACCCAAAAACCAAAATTCTCGCTAACTATGACAGTTGAAGGGTGTCTGGTCTGTTTAGGGGTCCTGGCTGGGTTCAGAACCCCTCAGAATGTTCTGCCATAACCTCCTGGTGGGTTGGATATCTGTACTGATGCTGGGTTTAGAGTTGAGGTTCCCAGTGGAGCAAAGGGAGGTTATCTCTACACAGAACCTGGTACCACTTCCTTCCACCAACAGTTTTCTTTGTCCTCGCTGGTCCAGAAGATGCGGCGTACAACCCTAAAGGTCGCCATGTGAAAAGGCTCCTCCTCCTGAGCAGAGGACGGGTGGAGCTATTCTCCGCCTATCGGGTTAGAGCCCAGCCAGCTAGGAGGTGGATGTTCCTCCCAGAGCGTTGGAGCCGATTGGATGTCCCACTCACCTTGATGCCAGCGTTCCAGAGCTCGGTGACTAGCCTGAGCCTCTCCTCCAACAGGTTCTTCTGGGCAGATGCCACCAGGACCTGGACCTCAGTGGTCCGGACCTTCTCTGCAGACGCCTAAAGAAGGACAGCATGGTTTTAATGGAAACATTGGTACAAACAGAGTACAGTAGAACCCGGCTCCAGGGGTCACCTCGGCCTTCTGCTCCATGATGGAGAAGATCCTCTCGATGCCGATGCTGACGCCCACACACGGAACCTTCCGGCCCTTTGGGTCGAACATGCCAACCAGGCCGTCGTAACGGCCCCCTCCTGCGACGCTCCCCACGCTGACACCTTCTTCGGACCCGTTTTGGGCGTCGCTGGACGCCGGAGCGGCCCCGGCCTGCGTCAGCACCGCCTCATAGATGACTCCGGTGTAGTAGTCCAGCCCACGGGCCAGGCTCAGATCAAACTCCACCTGAGAGGGATGGGTCAGGACAGACGTCACGCAGCAGAGACCCAGACACAGAGACAGATGGACGCCTCACCTTGTCTGTGACCTGGAAGAGCTGCAGGTAGCTGAAGAGAAGCTTGATGTCGGACAGGCCGGCACAGGCCTGCTTGCTCTGAGACAACCGGGGATCCAGCAGGAGGCGCTCCGCCAGGTCCATCCCCCCTGAAACACAACCAGCCCTGTTCAGTTCCTGGTTTTACTCTGCTAGCAGCACAGGTCAAGACCCAGTTCCACCAGAACCTGCTGAGAGCTGGAGTCCAGGTCTTCACTCATGTACCAGCAAACCCAACCTAACCGTAAAGTCATCGGCAAGTCATATTTAAATGCCAAATCATTCTGGCTTAAACATGCAGTGTTTCGCATTAATGAATGGGCCGCCAGTCTCGTTTGGGCACCACACAGTCTCGTTTGGGCACCACACAGTCTCGTTTGGGCACCACACAGTCTCGTTTGGGCACCAC